TACGGCGGCGTCCAGTGCCTCTTGCTCTTTGCGTACGGCCTTCTCGAAGCCATGCCTGACAACACCTAACCACAGTGTCTACACTTCTTTGCACTCTAACTGCAATTGCCCGAAAAGAAAGTCCAGCTTCCCGAAGTCCCACTATACGGCCCCTATCAAACTCACTAAGTTGACGAAATCGTACAGGTCTACGTACTCTAGGCATCGTAACCGATCGTAAAGGATGTCAAGAACCAAAATCCGCCAACGTTGATTCTTTACTGCGGCTGAAATATTCATTTTAGAGCGTTAGTGAATTAAAAATAAGCAGTATAAAAACCGGAATGTCCAACTGATGAGGCTGAAAATTTTTTCACTTGTTATTTACAGTAAGATAAATACATTCACCAACTTTTATTAAAATAAAACCATTTAAACTGGGTGTTCGGATTTATATGTCACTTAGTATATATACGACGCATTACCTGTTGTTAAAAGCCTTAACTTTAGTTGTTACAATGGTTATGTAAATTTATTTGACACATACATTGCGTACAATTTGTGTAGGTAGTTGTGTGCAACCTACCGTTTACTATTGCAGAGCATTAGTACAATTTGTGTAGGTGGTTGTGTACAACCTACGGTTTACTATTGCAGAGCATTAGTAGTATATGTATTGTTGCAAGTCGCTTTGAACACCTGCGTATCTATTATATTTACGAGACGAGACCGGAACATAATTACATGATCAAACGAACTTACCTGTGGATTTGAGGAAATTAAGAGTTTGTTGGCCAGGGGCTGGAGAGGAGGAAGGTGGGAGGGCGCGGTGAGCAGCTTTTCTTCGCTGCGTGCGCACTTTGAACTCGTGGGTTTGGTCAGAAACGGGATACTACATCTATTCTATTTACTTCGACGAGGCCTTCACATAATTAAGCTCGAACATCACTTACAGTTAAGTTCGTTTGATCATGTTATTTTAAAGAATAGGATAATTTTAAACAATCCAGAAGTTCAACGAGAGCTATCCTCAATTGATATCGGATTTATTAATGAATTAAGATTACAAAGATATCAGTGCGTCAAGAGCATAATCCGTGTTTTATTGCAAAACTTCAGGTAACAAAGTAAGCTTGTTCGCTGTCTGTTGAAGTTGGCTTTATGGATGATAGGGCTTTGTAGATCTAAATTGCAAGTTCTGATCTTCTTGACATCGTACATCTAAAACAAAAACTTACAACAAGAAAGTAAAACTTTAAAGTGTTAGTATTATAAATTAGGTTTATAAAACAGAAAACTAATTACCTCAAACTCATTTTTCAGTTTTGTTGTTCCTGGTTGGTCATGTAATACCGTATACAGTAACGGAATATAGATTGACTGATAAAATATTATCCTGGAATCATGAGTATATAACAGCGATTCGTTACTGTTAGGTATTGAAACATGTATCCACCGTGTCTAGCAGTACATACCATACAAAGATTGCAGAAATGATAAATGAGACCTTAGTTTTACTGTATAGATGTAACAATTGTGTGTTGTACACATATTATGAAGAAAGGAAGTGAGCGGTCGCATATTGAATGTGAACATGGATTATAATTTATATATAAATTAAAACCGTTTCGGTCATAAATTATAAAAGCTGTTCGCTAGCAAGAGCGGTTCGTGGGTATTTACGGGTGACGCGACGCAAGAGGGAAATAGATATAGCGCGATATCGCGCAGAATATGGCTCGGTAATATATTGCTGGGATGTAAATATATCTTACAGCGTCCGTGCGTGGCGTCTCAATAGGTTTACACATGGAGCGATATTTCTGTAAATGCAGGATATAATATATATTATATTATCGCTCACTGTCCGTTGCCAGCTTAACTCCCTCTACTATAACACCTACATATATACATTCTTGCACTTTATTGAACCTCTATATCTCGCGAACTTTTCATCATCCAACTTTCTGCCCAGAGAGACTTTTGAACAGAAAATCATAATGTAAAATACTGCAAACTTAGCCAATTCTTCTGCACAGCCTTCTCCGTGTGTTTTGGGTCAACTTTTTTGCGATACAACATGCGCCGCGTCATTGACGGACACATGTGTCAGAAATGGAAAGAACGTAAATGTGCCGGATGGTTGTTGTACAACATGTGCGAGACATTCTGATGGTCTGCAACATATTGCGACACATGTGCCGGGGCAGATTCATTTCTTTTGAATAAGCTGCAAGCAGATGTGCAACATGTGACCAGTGGCGAAGCGTCCATGTAACCATTGTTACCATTGGTAACAGTTAAAAATCTTAAAAATAAATATTTTATGACTAAGTACTGTGAAATAATTTCATTTATTTGTATACTAACAGCGATGTGTGATAATAATTCAGTAAATAGCAAATTAGCCCCACGAAAATAATGCGCCCTACAGTGTCTAGGTTTTGCGAACACGATGAAGCTAACTCGCCTCGACTTAGTTGTCGGTTGTTACCATTTTAATTTATGGATACACTTGGTAGTCTGTCGGGAACCGTCGGAACCGGCTCGTGTCTGATCGCGGTCGCCCGAGTGCGTGATGCGCTGCGACTATTATGTGGGCTTGTTACCATTTTTTGATTTGGTTACTCATTTCTCACTCGTTAGTAGCCGTTTTGGTTACCGACTGTAGTGAGCGTGAAATCAATCATGGATGAATGTCGCTGCGTAATCAGTCAACTACTTGAAACGTCATTCTCCTTGTATAATTTTTAAGAAAAAAAGGAGATCATTGAAAATGGAAGACCAACACCTATTTTAGATAATTTTAAACAGGAACAAAAAAACGCAGTTTGATATTTTAAATTAAGTTGGTATATGGAAACTCTTGGTTATGTGGTTGCAAAAAAACAGATTGTATTGTTGGTGATATCTTCTGTTTTATACAGAAAAAAATGGGTGGACCAGCAGCGGAGTCATCGATTTAAATAGTTTTAGGGCGCTAAAGAGGAGACATGAAATTTCTCCGTTACATGTGAGATGTGTAGCCAATTTAATTCAGTTTGGCAAAACAAGAATCGAAAGATGCCTTAACCAAGCTTTTAGGCAGCACACTTCTAGATACCGTATGTTTTTTGGCAAAACGGGAATTACCGTTTATTTTGAAGTGGATGACTCTGACAATAGAGGAAATTACAGGGAAATGTTAACATTCATTGCCAAAAAAGATCAAAAATGTTCCGAACATCTAGAAACGTCGACTGTTTTTTCGGACGGCTTGGATTAGTCATAGCATAAGACGATGCGTTATATCAAGTGCCCCAGACGCTCAGTCCAGGAATGTTTACCTTAATTTAAAAATAGTTTAAATAAAATACCTAAAATAAGCAAAAACTTATATTTGGGAGGTTCAAAATAAACTTTTTTTAATAAGATTTTTCACATCTGGTTTTGGTAACAGTTTAGGAAAAGTCACGCGTCGCTACTGCATGTGACTGTTGAAATGAAGTGTTGGACAAAACGCCCCTAGGAAGGTGACTGCTAAAAGCTGGCGACACTTAATGTCGCGTGTCCCTTTTTTCAACAACCTGTGTTGATGAGTGTTCTTAATACTTTTCATCTGATTGTTTCATGGTGGGTATAAAGATGACTGAAAAAAGATGTTCTCAGTTTCTTTTTTGCCAAAAATGCATTTTTATGGATTTGTTCTTGAATCGTAACTTATTAATAAATAATAGCACAACTCGAAAATTGTATGTGAATACTCCACCTTTATGGAAGAATAAAGCGGGAGATTACTTATTTTTTATCACTTCCTCTCTTCAAAAAATTTACAAGCTGTTTATCCAAATCGTTGGATTGGCCGCGGTGGGCCCCAAGAATGGCCACCAAGGTCCCCAGACCTTAACAGTTTAGATTTCTTTTTGTGGGGCTATCTTAAGACACTAGTGTACATAAGTCCCATTAACACTGTAGAGGAATTAAGAGAAAGAATAGTTACAGCTTGTGAGAGAATAAAAGCCACTCCAGGGATATTTCAACGAGTGCGCAATTCCATGAGAAGGAGGGCGGAAGCATGCATACTAAGTGAAGGGGGCCATTTTCAACAATTTTTGTAATCATTTCGGCGGTTTTAGTGTTATGTTTATGTTGTCAGTTGTTGCCCATTACCCCTAATGTGTTTAATTTTTCCAATTAAATTAATAATAATTTTGCAAGTTAGACAATAGAACGGTTTTTATTTTTTTACTCAAAAATGGCGCATCGTAGGAAAACAATTTGAGAGAGATCATTTGTTTTAAATTGAACGGGCAATTCAAAAATAATTTTTATTTGGTAAAAAACCATTGGCGTACCATTTTTTTCTTAAAAAATATCGAAGTTAATGCCCGTACGCACGCCACTGTTAAATGAAAATATTATTTTTGCAGTGAAAAATATGCATTATTAACTTTCAGTACGAACTAAATATCAGTGAAATATCTGAAGCGGTTCTGAAAATATTAATTAATTTCCATTTTTTCCTAAAACTTAACACGAGTTTTTGTAAGAACATATTTTTGGACCATAGTTTATAAAGCAAACTAACATTAATTTTTCATGTAGATTCACACCCTTAAATATTTGGATATCATCAAGGAACACCCTGTATAAATGCTTGCCACAGTCAGTGTGATAACCCACTTGACATGGGCGTACCATTTTGAGTTTGTCTTTTATTGATCTTTGTAATAATTCGTAAGTAGTAAAATGCATCTAACTGACAATAACGGTAGTTCTTGTCAACATTTTTGGAGTATTTTGAGAAACTGAATGATTGCACAGCGTTGTACACAAGGTTCAATTAGTCGATTTGCTTAGGTACCTATTTAGTATGGCAATGATGACGTAACCGCCAAAAACCATGAAACGAACTATTTAAAGGATTAAAATATATTCTTTACTTATTTTACTTACCCTATTAGCCGGTCAAAGATAAAATGTTGTTTGTGTCTCGAGTATAATAAGCGGCTACTTAGTGCCCTAGATATATAAATAACTATTAGATTACTTTAGGATTATCGTTATGTTTTTCAGATTCCGATAATAAAAAGGGCTTTTGGCTATTCGAAACTGAAACTGTTATGCGCATCATGGGGAGCGCCAAAGTGGATGAAAAACAATCACAAATCGGGTGGCCCCCTCGGCTTCCTAAAACAGGAATATTATCAGTCATGGGCCAACTATCATGTCAAATTCCTGAATGCGTATGCTGAACACAACATCTCTTTTTGGGCAATAAGCACTGGAAATGAGCCGATGTCGGGAATTATTGGGCTTCCGATACCTGCAGTTGGCTGGATTGCATTCACACAAGTAAGTCCTTCAAAATCGTCTAAAGCAGGAATATTAGAATACTTTGCCGAACTTTTTTGTAAAAGATGCAATATGTTTTGTGTAAAAAATTGAACATGAACATACGAAAGGTAAGGGGTTAATTCCACAGTAGTACAGTAAGTACGATTTATCGAATTTAGGATTATAAGAAAAATTGGCATATAATTATTTGCAGAGAAATATTAACACTTCGTAGTTATTTGCGAATGAGTTAGGATAGATTTGCAAAACTTTCCCCTAGAAATATGTTAAATTTACGACGTATATTAGAAAACAAGGTGTGTCGCTCCATGAAGCTATTGTCTGTCATATGACCAAAATTCTCTAGTGTGACTTGAAAAGAAATTGTAATGGAATTACTGATGTATGTATACGTAAAATGGCGTCAAATGGTCGGTTTTGTACTTCCTAGCAATTCTGTCATGAATTAGATTATGGTACGTTGACTTCCAACTCTAGCGCCATATGAATGAAGGTTCAATAAATGTTTAGATTATTCAATGGCAAGTAATAATAATAATAATAATAATAATAATAAATGGCCTTTATTTTACCTGGCGGGTTACATCAGCACAAGCTGTTTTTCAGAACCAACCAGGGCTAAAAAAAAATTCAAGTACATGCAAATACAACAAAAATACATTGAAGATAACATTTAAAGCGGAAAAAAAAATTTTTTTTACAGAATCGTAGCATGGTATAATGACCAAAAGACCAAAAGAGAAACGTGCAGCAACAGAGTACGTAGCAGAATCAAAAACCGTGATTAGAAGTAACTTTAAAAAAAGAAAATATTTGGTATATGGCGGAAGATATAAAAATTAAAAGTAAACAGTAACAAATGTGTAAGCAAAACACAAACAAATGAAAAGTGACGAGTGAGAAAACATGCACAAATAAACAAATATAAAAATAAAATTACATAAAAATACATGCTAGATGAAATCAAAAAAAAAATACATGCTACATGTCATCAAAGACAAAGAGCCTAACCTTTCTTTTAAAGCTGGACACAGATAAAGTTTTCAAAGCTTGAGGTACTTTATTGTAGAAATCGGGCGCCACATATGAAAAGCTCTTTCTGAATTGGGTTGTTCGGTGCCGAGGCAAGTCAAGAGTATATCCTACAAAACGCAGGTTAGCTGAGTGATGATCACATCTCATGGTAAGCTTGTTCTTCAAATAAAGAGGCATTTTATTTATCATAATACTGTGGACCAATGATAATAGATGCAGTATCCACCTTTGTCGCATAGTAAGCCATTGAATATTTTTAATATGATCAGATACCCTCTCCCGCCTTTGAATACCTAAACTGAATCTTATGCAGCTGTTTTGCACTTTTTGAAGTCTGTATGCCTCGCTCTGTATTAGACATGGACCATAGACAAGGTCCCCGTATTCAAGTTTACTTAGGATAAGGGAGTCACACAGCTTAACCTTGGTCTGCTTGGACAATACATTTTTATAGCTATACATTGACTTCAACTTAGCATAGGAACCCTGAACAGCTTTGGTGACATGATCGTGGAAGCACAGGTTCTCATCCAATGTGATGCCCAAGTTGCGAACCACCGATGTCTTGTGGCAAACTTCATCACCTCCAATACACAGCTTTATTAATTCACTATTGAATTTGCTGAATTTAGATTTAATAGTTATGATAGCCGACTTTCTAGGGTTAATACATAAGCCATGTTTGTTATACCACACACATATACTATTTAAATCCTCAGACAGCATCTCATTCGCTTCAATGTACATAGCAGGGTTGTAAGATAGATAAATCTGTGTATCATCGGCGTATGTATGTAATTTGCAGTATTTAGTGACTTTATCTAAGTCCGCTACATAAAGAGAAAACAGTATACCACATCTACTACACAACCAGGATCGTCAGCGGTCTAGTGGTCACAAGGTGACTGAGTTTTTAAAGGTGAACTGAGATCTTTACAGTTCCAACAAATAGCAGCCATGCGTTCCCGCATATTTTTGACATGTACATACAACTAAGTATGCGAGGTACTGAATCTGGAAACCTAACTAAGAAATACCTGACCTAAAGTGGTGGGGGTATTCATAGGTTTCCGTGAAGAAACACACATCGAAAATTTGAGGATTATTTATGTTTTGAGTAGGTTTTGGTTTTGTTGTATTCCATGGCCTGCTTCCATTAATTGTCTTTTTTGTATACACCCATAGTGAATATGCATGTTATATGCACTCACAACAATGGACTTACTATTCCATACAATGTTGCACCAGACGCTAGCTCAGCAACAGATAACGACTTCTCGCTAACTCGTTGTTTATGCTCTGTTTTCTAGAAGTGCTTTGTAAGCACACCAAAGGCCTTGCGCCCATTTCATGTTGTTCAATACCCGGCTAGGCACCGTAACAGTCACTTATCTAAACTTTATGTTCATACACGGTTAGACTCCGTCAAGTCAAGTAATTGTAAACGTTTGTAACGGACAGTAGTTACTGTCCTCAAATAAATTTTTTAAAAAGTAAAGTTGAATTTAAATGATGCATTAAAGCAGAAAAATTGCCTTTTGTTATTAGCATTACATACTTACCTTTTAACGATATTTTGTAATATTTTCAAAAAGGGTGATTTTTTCTAATGAATGAAAAAAGAATTAGTTATAAATTTCCGTATAAATTTTTCATGGGCCTAAATTTTAGGTTAGGAACAAGATATCGAGATGCGGTTTTCGTGAGCTTGCTAAGACATCATTTAGTTACTTTTTCATGAAAAAAATCATTCCAATGCATTTAGTTTTTTTGAGAAAACAATATCATTTCTGGCGGATTGTCGAAAAACACCCTCTAGCGGCCACATGTGAAACTAGTAAAACTTCAAATATCATAACATTTGTAGCTCAAGAATAGCTCTTTTCAATCTGCCTAAGTTTGTTGAAATCGGCTCAGCCGTTTCGAAGATACATGGTATTTTTTACAGAAACCTTTGAATACCCCCCACAACTTTATTTTTAGAGATACAGCAAAAATTGACGAACAAAAAAGGTTCAGATTACCATCGAATTTAAAGATTTTTTATTAGGTTAACATAGCCGAATTCACAGAAACATCACTTTTTTAAATTCAAGAATGCAGTTACGCCCCCTAGCGGCCATTTCACAAACTTGAGCAAGCCTCTACGATTGATAGGTTCCCAGATATACCAGTTCACATTACTGGTTGGCCACCGTGTGCATCACGAAAGACCATGTCACTCATTTCCGTCGATCTGTCTGTCTGTCTGACTATAATCAAATTCAAGCGGATAACCAAATGGAAATGGTATTTACCATTTTGGGTTGGTATTTACCGATCCGTTCAAGCGAGTGTAGTTATCAGTTTGGTTATAAGATCCGTGACGTCACGAATCAGCTGTTATATGTCATAGTTATCACCGCAAAATTGTGGTATTTACCCAACTCAAGAGTAGTTTTATATTTCTGGTTATTATTTGAAATGTGACAAGTTAGAATTTTGCCGGGTATTGGATATTGTTGTTGTACTTCAGCTTCATTTTTGAGAAAATTGATACAGGCTGACTTCAGTTTTACCATAAAGTGGAGCACCTTATTAGTTATACTCATTACGGTTGTTGGGGACACTTTAAATGTAGTTCCTATGCTTAACAAAGTATCCTGTGTAGCCATATACCACAAGAATATTAAAATATGGCCATATAAACTCACTAGATGATATCCACCTGTATACGGTTTTGCTAATTTCTTTATTTCATCATTTCTGCTGAATCAATAAATGTTTTCTTTGACATGCGGAAAAATTTAGAGAATTGAAAGTTATCATAGCTACAAAGCCATGGTTCCATCATTAAAAAAAAAAATCTGGAAAAAACATTTCTCCCATGAATATTATGAAAGGTTCTTATTTAAACTTTCCATATACAGTTGTAGACGATTATTAAGTGATAATAAAAATAATCAGAGATTATATTCGCGCTTTTCTAAAATAAACAACTTGCAACAAAACCGCGGTTAAAACCAACGCGTTCAAGCGATTCGTGTAACTGACGTCATCAACCCGTATGTCATCTTGAACCATATTATAACCGCGGTACATAACACAGAAATTTTGGTTATTCGCTTGGATTTGATTTATCTGTGCGCTAATCCTTGACCCCTCTATACCTTGGCAAGTACCTCTCGGAGTTTGATGAAATTTCCCGGTAATTCTACGCACAGGTTTCACACATCATAGATTTCCTCGTACATCTGCCCTTGAAACTTGGAAAAATATTATCACTCTTAAGATGGAACAAAGTGAACATTCTTACAGAACAAGTTTATTTCTGGGTTATAGTTTACGGAGATTGTTCCCGGCACTTTTCTATCCAGTATACCAGGGGACTTGTATAAGTACATAAAGTGAAATCGAGTAGTAGTTGCTCCTAGTTTCTGGTGCAGGTTAGAGTGCTTCTGTCCTACTGGGCGAGTGAGTGAGTTTTACTAAAGGTATACTACAAACTTACAAACTTTTCCCTAACTCCAACACTTCGGTAATTCAAATCCCGGTACATTTCTTTAGCTCAAACAAGCTCAGAAAACTTCAAAATTAACTTCATTTTTCTAGAGCTCAACTCCCGCGGTTTTTGTTGTTCAATTCGTTAATTCTGTATCAATTATGGTTCATTAAGGCTCCAGAAACTCCACCCCGAAGTTTTTCAGAAATCGTATTTTCCACCCTTAACTCCCGGTGTTGCACCTTTCTGATCTGTGAACTCGCAGTGTCGTCGGAGACTAGCATACCCCTAGCATCTGCTTCTAGCGGATCAGTCGGAACCCACATCTTCTCGCTCCCCGAGGTACAACTTTCACGTTTTGCTAGAGGTGATCCCGGAACTCCGTAATAGGTCATTCTAGAACTACAAAATCATCACAGAAGATGTCCCCTCCCCAAACATCTACAGGGGACCCCAGACGGATTGAAACAAGTGCAGCTTTTGTGACAGGAAGTTCCAATCTTATCCTAGCACAAGGCTCCACGCCAAGAGAGTCTATCGAATCGAGTACAACAGGGAGTTTTCAGAAAGTGCACCGCATTCTGAAGCAGAAGTTTCTTCAGGCTTGAAAAAATCGAAGCCAGCCTGCTTCCCGATTAGAAGTACTTGTTGCAAGCTATGGCTGACCAGACATCAAATCTGTCACCCTAGGGACAAGCCTACCTAAAAAGAGTACCTCGCACTAGCCAAAAAAAGGGTCGCAATCGGCAAGGAGCTGGATTCGGCGCCACAGTAAAGGATAGCAGACTTCAACAAGCTAGTCTTTCAGTCAACCATGGTTAAGGATCCCCCACACCGACGCGGTAAGGCGATAGCGATAATCACAACGCTGCCCATGAGGTGCTCAGTTTTCAGAGCGGTAAATAATACCGATCACACCAGCGCGGTTTGGTGGCCCGTGGCTTATCGCCTTGACAGCGTTTCATTTCAGACACTCTGCTGAGGCGGTTCGTATCGCATATCGCCACGTTTTTCACGATATCCACAATGGAGAGATTAATTGAACAAGTTAAGAAGTACCTAATACTGTACGATTTAAGTCTCAAAGACTATAAAATTTCCAGGAAAAAGGATAGAGTGTGAGATCTCATTAAACTTTAGATTTCATCAAAACAATCGGAAGTCATTCGAAAGTATACGTTAAAACGTTGTGGATCTCTAGGTAATTCGATCATTAGAGTATGATATCTTTCGTAGTTTATAGATATCATGTATCCATTTCTTCTCTTACCTTAAACACAATTATTAATTATTATTAACTAATGATTATCATCAAAAGACTTATTTTTCGCCTTTTATCTTCTGCTAAGGCCAATAATGATAATAGTTCTTCTTCATCAGAAGACATATTGACTAAGAAATCAAAAAACGTTTGAGAATATCGCGCAGATAAGAAAACTGCCGTACCGCAGTGGTGTAACGTGCAGCTATCGCGCTAAATGCGATTTTTAACGCTGATGCTACCGCTATCGCTGTATCGCGTCGGAGTGGGGGAACCTTTATCCGGCACCAAAAGGCCAGCACAAGAACTTCAGCCCCAAACGAACTGCGACGGCGTTTCGGTGGGCGATAATGCGTAGGACGATACGGGAAGGGCAATGTGACCAGATTGACGTAGTAGTGGAAGTGGTGGGGAGGCGCAGCCTGACAAGTAGGCCAACTTTGACCCTTTTTGCCGTTCCCGTAGTACCACCATTGTACTGCTCCACGAGCCATCTACTAGTAACTGATATAATAAACCACCAGTAGGGCTGGGAAATAATGTCTATGGACTAATTGAATAGGCCTGTTTGGGTTTACCTGGTGCTGAACTTAATCCTTTATGAACTGATGACGGCGTTGCGTAGGAAGTACAGACGCCATTTTTTCTTTTATGTTTGAATATGCGGTGGCACCTGCGGTTCGTGTATCAACATGAGGAGCTCGACATTTGAGCTTAGTAGGACTTTATTTCATTTTTTTACTTCCAGAAACAATGGGTACAAAACAATCTAGGCCCTGCTATTCGGAAGTCGGCGCACTCAAAAATAAAATTACTAGCTCTAGACGGTCAGAGATATCTCCTACCATCATACATTGAGATTGTAAGTATGTACTGCAAACTTGAGCAAATTGGCTTATACAACCCTATTCGCATAAGTAATCTCTGCATAAAAACGGAAATCGCACAACTGAGCAAGGCAAAAAGTTGGGCTGGTGTATGTGTATATTTGTATTTGCGCAGATTGGCGTGCACAAATAGACTTGCGCAAGTTTGCATTACCTTTAAAAGCGGACCTTAGTTCAAGCTAGGATAAATGGCATCAGAGTAAGCTCAGTTTTATATCAATCGACAGCACCTTAAAGAAAGTAACTTCTGAAACTCACCAAGTGGTTGTCTCGCTAATCCAACACTTAAACTTCATTTTCGTTGTAATTTAAAGAAGGTCAACAAAATGGCCGAAACATAATCTCGTTATTTAATTGATTTTTTGTGTTCCCAGATGTTTGAAAGTAAGAAAGTGAAAGATTACATAGATGGAATTGCAGTACATTGGTACGGAGACAACATCAGTCCCTCCTTTTCACTAACTTTTACCCATGAACAATTTCCGGAGAAGCCTATTTTAGCTACTGAGGCTAGTATTGGTAAGTAGATTGAAACACTGTACAGACTGTAACAAAAGTTTGGAACGCATCGAATATCTGTCGAATCACTATTCCAATTTTCTTGGAAATCGGGAGGTTTAGATTCGAAATCACGGCGGATCTGTTCATGATGTCCGCGATGTTGCCAGATCTACAGTTTTTCAGAAACTGATAACAACTTTTGTTTTCCTTATGGAATGCTATACATTTTATTCGATATTTATATTCTGCGAGAAATTCTGAATACCTTTTATTCAAGACATTTTTACGTAGACCTCATAGTTTTGAAATATTCGCGGTCAAACATTAATATTGAAACAATAATGCGTATTTTTTTCAGCTAAGCAATGACCGGTATAGAAAGTAATTTCCTGTCAGTTCTGACATTCAAAAGTCCAGTGAGTTTTGTTAGTAAAATTATTTAGAATGATTCACTTAAATGACATCGAGAAAATAGGAATTCTAATGAATTTTGGTTTTAGTTGAATAAATAATATTTTCATTAACTCTACTAATAAAACTCAATGAACTTTTCAGTGTCAGAAATGACAGGAAATTATTTTCCATACCGGTCATTGCTTAGGTGAAATAAATTTATTTTATTGTTATTTCGAAAGCTATGAGGTCTACGTCAAAGTATATTCATTAAAAGGTATTCAAAAATGCTCTCAGAATACAAATATCGAATAAAGTGTATAGCATTCCACAAGGAAAACAAAAGTTACTATCAGTTTCTGAAAAACTGTAAATTTGGCAACATCGCGGATATTCTCAACGGATCCGCCGTGGTTTCGAGCCTAAACCTACTAATCTTTAAAAAAAATTACATCAGTCATTCGTCAGATATTTGATGTGTGTCAAACTTTTGTTACAGTCTGTACCCAGATGTTCTCTGAATGGGGATTTGGGGTAGAACATCGATTAATACCTTTTGAGATCCCAATATTCTTCTGATAAGTCCTTTACAGTGGAAATGAAATCATGGCAATATGCATAGAAATATTCAATATGATGCTGACATACAGGGTGTTTCAAATTCGACCCGCACCATTGGGATATCGGAAGCTGTAAGATATACGAAGTCGCTTAAATGGAGGTATGTAGGTAATCAACAAAATGCCACTTAGGAAGTTTCGAAATTCAAAGTACTTCCTGAGAGAAACGGAAAAACCGAATTTTCACAACATAATTTTAATTATGTCCTGGCTTTATTTGTAGTGGGATTTCAAAATAAATTGCAGAATAAGATTGCCATTTTTTCTACTTAACAAGGTGGCTTAATTAGAATTTCAATATGACGTTTCGTCTCTTGTCCTCCAGCATCAACTTTATTTTTTCTTATGGACAGATAAATAGAGTTGTCAGAAAAAAGAATGAAGGCAGGCCTTGAAATTATCAGATTTCATTTATTTCGTATACCAGAACAGACCTCGAGTCTAGAAGGCTGAGAAGAAGAGAAATAAATCGAGCAGTCAACAATGTACCTACAGAGAAGAGTCAGGCTTTGCCTACAAAATAACGTACAACATTTGAACATCTGCTATGATTTACCTCTGCTTATTCACTATTTTTATTATTACTATCAATAAAATTTGCATTCTTTGTTCAGATTTCACCATACCTTTTTATTTCCTTACAATTTTCATCCAACACCAAATTCTTAGCCAACTAAGGAAATACATCACTGAATTAAGGACTGAAAAGTCCATTTAAATGTACAAGGTTCCAATGCAGCGTCCCCATGAACAAACAAAGTTAATGAAGTCGAAAGAAGAAATGTCGAATTGAAAACTTGACTACATCTTGTATGGGAGAATAAGTAACAGTGACAACATGCAATTTATTTTGAAATCCCATCTCAAATAAGCTCATGAAGAAATAAAAGTGATTTTGGGGTAAATGTGGCATGCGAAATAAATGACTATCTGATAATTTCAAGACCTACCTAAGAAATTCTGCTTTCTTTAAATAGTTGAGGTTTGGCGATGTCAATGTATGACGCATTATACATTTTTTGGAATCTGAATTAAAAGCTATTCATCTGTGCATAAGAACAATAAAGTTGATGCTGGATGACAACAGACGAAACGTCATATTTAAATTCAAATTATGCCATTTTGTAGAGAACAAAAAGTGGCAATGATAATGTGCAATTTATTTTAAAATCTCACTACAGATAAAGTCAGAAGAAATTAGAACGATTTTGAGAAAATTCGATTTTTTCCGTCTCTCTCCGCAGTAGTAGTGCTTTGAATTTCGAAACCATCTAAGCGGCATTTTGTTAGTTACCTGAATACGCAACTTTGCCCCCATTTAAGCGACTTGGTATCTCTTACAGTTTCCAAGATCCCAAAGGTGAATTTGAAACACCCTGTATATGTAAGCATAAAGACAAACAATTAATCGTTTGAAGACGCTTGATTTGTTTAAGGTGTTTATCAAAAACAGAAAGTGTCTCTTGGTAACTGGGAGAGAGGAGAGAGATATGTCCACAGCATCATTCAGGTAAGGAACACTCATAAAACATTTACTTAGTGATGACATCTCTTTCGGATTGTCCCAGTTCAGATTACTGAGGACATATTTTTGGTACGAGCACATCTTGTCAATTGGAACAGTTGTTAAGAATACGCTGGGTTATCTACTTAGAGCTAAGAAGTTCAGGGCAGTCAATATACTTCGAAGTTGAGTCATTTATTTTAACAGTGAGTAGATCTGATCAAAATAAATGTTTTTTTCCTTTAACATTTTTCTGGTAAAATTAAAGTAACAAAGTTATAGCCCTTTAGAAGTTTGAGTACCGCCCTGTCTCAATAATAATATTATGTGCTCGTGTTTGGCAACAACGGATATAATCCGCCTTATCTGTTCAGCGCATCGGAAACAAAAGAGCGAAAGCATTTGAAACACTTATCACGATGTTTTTACTACAATTTTATTCAGTTGTATTCAGTCAATGTGTCAGTCGGTAACGCGTGAGTGAATAGTGGTGTTTGTTGCGTGGCTCAAACGAAATAAAAAATGGCACATGTTTACGAAAATGCTGAACTTGTGGACATGATTCTTTTTTACGGGGGGGAGTCTTTACAAAATGCTGCCGCGGCATCACGGATTTATGCGGATCGGTTTCCCAATCGAATGCAACCAACCCCTCGTGCCTTTGTTAATGTAGTACAAAGGGCTCGTGAATCAGGTGACTTAAGACCTAACAGGGGAGGGCATGCCGGATGCCGGTGCTCCAAGACCGCACGATCAAATACAGGTCCGCACTGAAATACTTGTCGGGAGGATACTTTATAAAACAAGGTAACATTTTTTTTTATTTTTTTTTATTTTTACACACATATTTTGATTTATCTTCCTTCTACAATCATTATCTGAAAATTAATGACTCAACTTCAAAGTCACCCTGTATAGTGTCTAGAAAGTGGAGGGTTATCCTGCAGCTTCAAATAGGTTACATGATGTACTCTGTGACAAAATGTTGTTTCATGTTTTCGAATTTTTTTAAATTGTTTTAATAAAAAGCTCGCCCACGTCGAGGTAGTCTCGCGTCATTCCTATAATTACTAACTTGGACTAGGTTTGAGAGGTTGAGAAATCGAAATAAAAATTATTTAACTAGTCTAAAATGTTGGTCGGTTATTCACAATGTCCGAATGGTAGTATTGTTATTCTTCTTCTCGTATATTCACAATTAAGAGCTTATCTTTTAATTGCAGTGATAATTGACAAGGGTTATATTTTGCAATATCGAAAAATGGTATTTTATGGCATGAAGACAAATTAAGGATGGACGTTGATATTTTATATTAAAATTAATATATGTAGGTACTCAAAATAATCATTTACATGCCCTGTATTTCCTCACCCACTCACATATCATTTATTGATATCTACGCTTCTCGCCAACTCAATTAAAGTAACCTGAGTAGTCTGGCTTGAAGACATAACAACCATAGACAATAATTTTTACTCAAGTTAATCCATATGAAATGCTCTCAAACGATGCGGTTAATCCACATAACCTTCACTACACTACATCCATGGCTCGGAATGTTATTTCCGAGGGTGGGATTCGAACCCGCGACTCGGCTAGCCGGTGTATACCGGGTGTTCCAGAAGTCGACGTCAAGCCGGAAACGGGGGATAGGCCAAGTCATAATAGTTATCAGAATAATATGAAAAAATAAGACGTGAACTTTTCAAATTATAGTCTTTAAACAAATCGGAAGAATCTAAACCCTGTCGTGATATTTTAGTTCCCATTACTACAAATTTCGATGTTTCCTTAGACGGAGTGACGGACAGTGTTATTATACGTAGTGACAGCAAGACAGATAGTAAAGCCACTATTATTAATTCATGATTATGTACACCGTACAGGAATACGCCAACATGCACCTCATTTATGGGTAATCTAGATACAATGCTAGTGCTGCTGCTAAGCTTAAATTTGTGAATGTGAACCGTGTACTCTCAGAGCAACGATTCCCAAATCAAGCGCATAGAGAAGGCAAAATTTCCTTTCCTTACGAGTTCGGCATACTACAAGCAGCCAACGAAGACCCGAGTACTTCAGTACGCCAAATAGAAGCAAGAACGGGAGCGCCCAAAAGTACAGCCCACACAATCTTGCGCAAGAACGAACTCCACCCGTACGACATACAGAGAGTACAATTCTACAACCCCGGGATTTTATCTTCCAACAGTTGAATTTTGTCAAACAATGTTGTAGAGACATCGTGAAGTTTTGTGGACTGGTAAGTCGACATTCAAAAAGGATGGTTGCATGAATCTACACAACTTACACGAGTGGCATGTAGAAAATCCGCATTTGATGAAACAAGTTAGATCACAGTATGGTTTTCAGCTAAACATGTGTACCGGGGATTCTAAATGAGAAAATCATTGTACCCTTTGAACTGCCACAGTTCTTGAATGGCGATTTTTTTTTTAGAGTTTTAACAAAATCATCCATCAAATTTATGGAAAGACGTGCCACTAAGCATTTACCGACATTTTGGCGCACTATGCCCGTTCAGTTGATGCGGAATACCCGAGCAGATGGATGGGAGGTCTGGTACAATTTTATGGTCAGCCCGTTCACCTGACGTAAATCCACTCGATTTTTTTTACTGGAGAGCGTTGAAAGAAAAAGTTTACTCAAAGCCAATCGAAAATTTAGCTGAATTTAATAACGGAAGATTCGCCTGTCTGATAGCCCGATCATTTTTAAGAGGATGTCAAGCTGGCATTGTTGCTGAAGGAAAAAAGTTTGAACATTTATTGTGGATTTAATAAATACACTCACGAATTCATAAAAGTGGCGTTACTATCTGTCTTGCTGTCACTATGTAGAATGACTCTGACCGTCACCCAGACTAAGATGTGTGTGTGTAGATTTTCCCAATTTTTCCGATTCTTTTTTAAAGCCTATATCTTGAAAAGTACACCACTTAGTTTATATTTTTCTGATAACTATTATAACTTGGCTTATTCCCCGATTCCGGCTTGACGTCGACTTCTGGGATACCCTGTATATGTAGCTCGACACTATGACACATCGGGCTACCCAGCTCCCACCTATATTTTCTCCTATTTCGAAACAATACTGACTAGCATGCTCGAGAGTGGTTTAGTTTTGGAAAAAAATTTTGTTGTCGTGGTCACTTCAGCTTGGTATACAAAGTCTCTTTCAACCCAAATGAAAAATTTAGTGGAATCAGGTCCAGCAATTTTGGTAGCGATAATTCAATCACCAGATAAACCTTTATGAATTATTATCAAACGTTTGTAAGGTGAAGTTGCCTTGTTCTTTCCGAGTGTGATGAGTCGCAGTATTATCATGTTACAGTAAGTGTGTTAGCCATATCTCAAAGTCTGAATCATTAAAAATGGTACTGATCCAAATAGGTATAAGATATGTATCAGGATTTTCTACGCAACAGTCTGTTTAGTCTTTTACATGTCTCACCTCCAAAAGGGCAACATTTAGGAAACAAATTTGGTTGCAATCTGTGATAGTAGCGGGGCACATCAAACTCGTCCAGTACTAACACACTTAATGTAATCATCTCTGCTAATATTATACAGAGTGACTTCGAAGTTGAGTCATTTTTTTTAACAGTGCGTAGATCTGTGAAAAGAAATGTTTTTTTCCTTTAACATTTTTCTGGTAAAATTAAAGTAACAAAGTTATAGCCCTTTAGAAGTTTGAGTACCGCCCTGTCTCAATAATAATATCATGTGCTCGTGTTTGGCAACAACGGATATAATCCGCCTTATCGGTTTATCGCATCGGAAACAAAAAAGCGAAAGAATTTGAAACGCTTATCACGATGTTTTTACTACAATTTTATTCAGTTGTATTCAGTCAATGTGTCAGTCGGTAACGCGTGAGTGAATAGTGGTGTTTGTTGCGTGGCTCAAACGAAATAAAAAATGGCACATGTTTACGAAAATGCTGAACTTGCGGACATGAGTCTTATTTACAAAATGCTGCAGCGGCATCACGAATTTATGCGGATCGGTTTCCCAATCGAGTGCAACCAACCCCTCGTGCCTTTGTTAATGTAGTACAAAGGGCTCGTGAATCAGGTGACTAAAGACCTCACAGGGGAGCATGCCGGTGCTCCAAGACCGCACGATCAAATACAGGTCCGCACTGAAATACTTGTCGGGAGGATACTTTATAAAACAAGGGAACATTTTTTATTTTTTTTTTATTTTTACACACATATTTTGGTTTATCTTCCTTCTAGAATCATTATCTGAAAATTAATGACTCAACTTCAAAGTCACCCTATACTCGTATTACGAGTATGTTTGTATAGTATGTTCCATTTTCACGCCAATACAGCTAAACCGATTATGATGAATTTTAGCATAGATATACAGTGCATTTCCTAATTGAATGTTACTGTTTAAGGAGGCAATTTAAGAAGAAACCTTCGTATGAACGTATGTTCTAAACATATTAACCTTTGAGATACATGGTGTTAAAGTTTTCAATATAGAAAGTCATTAGCGCGCCACTTGAAATAAAAAAAATTAAATGTAAATACACAGTTTGTAAGAGAAAGCTGTGAACAATTCAAGGGAATAAATTTGCTTAATAAGTGGGTATTTCAAAGATAATTTTCATTTTAAGAGAAATCAGTGGCGTACCATCAATATTTGCTGAATTAGACAGGTGAAATTGCGTACAAACACCACTGGTGGTAATTATAAGTGTAATACATTAAAACATGTCTCTTGTATGCCAAATTTCATTGATATAGAGCATATTTGGAATACTGCAGATAACTTGGAATACCTAGTTGTCTAAATAAATGTAAACGCCATATGTATTTTTTTGCCGTAAATATGTCGTAAATCACACGAAACCACAAGTTCTAAAAACAGGACGCCATATTGACATTTCCTGCTACCAGCCACACGGGAACGAGACGTTGTTAATGTTGTTAATTTGGAATACCAAAAGTGAATATGATTTGGAATATTCCAAATTTAATGCACATATTTACGGTATAGGTATTAATTCCTCTATGTTTTTTAGAAATATCAATATCCCACAAATACAAGAAAAGAAATAGATGGGAAAAGGAGAAAATGTGCTTAATGTGAGTAAAGTGGATTCACGCTGCTTGTAGTGGTTATGAATCCGGTGTGTATATCTGTGATTATTGTAAGAACCGTAACTAAGAACACTAAACAGTTCAGGCTAAATTCTGATTTATGATTATTGTGACTGATAACTTAATAATTAATAATTATAAGCTATTTTGTTAAACAGATTAATTACCAAAGACTGTAAAACGGTTACAAAGTTGGAATACTATATTCCAAATTACCTGCACCCTAAGTAAATTAACGATTTTGGAGTTTTTTATTTTGATAAATATTTTGATGGGGTCACTGGTTCTTGTTTGGTTTGATTGCTTATATCATTAAAATTGAATGATTTCCCAATAATTTAATGTAATTTTCATTTTGCTATCCCGTGTATCTTTCAATTTATTTCCAAAAAACAAACCAGTATTCCAAATATTCTGCAGTTCCTCTATCTAATGTGATATTTACATTAATAATAAATAATGATTTATTCTTAAATACTTTAAAGCGCTGTATCTCAAAAGATCATACGTTCGAATGAAGTTTTCATCTGTAAACGCTCCCAAAAATCACCCTCTTGAATAATGACATTCAATTAGGAAACACCCTGTAGATTAGACCTTGCAGAAGAGTATAGGTTACATTTTGTTGCGAAAATGAAATGAAGGTGTGCAAGTTACTATTAAGAAACTATTATTCTTTAAGCTAGGGATACAAATATTTATTTCTTATATTTGTTTTTTTGATATAATGTAAATGAGCTCTTTCAAACAAAATTTTGGAAGTTTCACCCCTAAGATGTTTAGTCGAGGGTTCACACTCTTGAAGCTAAAGAATATTTCAAATTAAGCCAGTCTAGAGGTAGGAGTATATTTTCCAGAAATTATATCCTTAAAATAGGTAGGAGAGGGTTGAATATTTGTATGAGGTGCCTTATCACTTTTCAAGCCAAATTGATAGAAATTTATCTCGAAAACTGTTTCGATTCAATTGAATTATTTACTGCTAAATACACAATGCGTGTGACAATGAAAAAAATCAATAAAAAGCATGAACAATTATACACACAAGGTCAATAAACACCTTAGGATCATACAAATTTGAAAAGCACAAAAACTAAATAAAAAAATATACTTCAATTCTGAAAAGTCATTGCTGAAGAACTCATCAAGTTTGTAGCTTTGTTGATAAAGGTGCATTTTATTTCCATTTTGAAAGGCTCGTCATTAAGAAACTTGACCTTATCTGGAATTGCATTATAGAAGCTAATTCCGTGGTAATTAATACCGTTTCTAGTTGTTTGTAGACGTTGTTGAGGTAAATTTAACTTGTGGGCATTACGCGTGTTGTATCTGCGCGTATCACTGTGCGTTGTATGCAAATGGCGATTTCTATGGATGTATGATAAGCAAGTTAGCGTATACAACGACGGTAGGGTTAATATTTTCACTTGGATAAAAACATCTCTACATGAATCCCTAAATCCTAGGCCACAAATACATCTAACACAGCGTCTCTACATCGCAAAAACTTTTTGCGTATGAGCTGAATGATCCCAGCTGATGATTCTGTAGAACATCTTAAAGCTCGCTACAGACGATGCGCAGTTCGTGATTCGTTATGCACGATGCGTGATTCGTCGAGTTCGTTGTAGTTCGTGTAATTGACGAACAGAGCATACAGACTGTGCGTTGTTCACGATTCGTGATACGTTGGTGCGTTGGTTCATGGTTCGTTCACAGCAGTTCGCAAAAATGGAGAGTGATGATGATCTGGCTACAGCTTGTGGTATTTATATAATCTTAGCGCAAAATAAAAAGAAGATAAATAAACGAAAAAAACGCAGATGGTGGAGTGTATCATTATTCAGACATAGAGACAGGTAATAGTTAAGATCATACGATTCATTTTCTAGAGTCAGTTCTATGTACGAAAAAAATCAGCTAATTTATAGATTTAGGTTATTATACAATTTTTATTTATGCTCTCTATCAATAGAATGCTCTGGTAAATTAAAAAAATTTGTCGGATGGTATCTGCAGATTTCGAAATTCTGCTGCAATTAATAGGCCCATCTATAACTAAACAGACCACTAACATGAGGCATACCATTTCTGCTAAAGAAAGATTAGCTGTTACTTTACGATTCCTTGCTTCTGGCGACAGTTATCACAGTTTGAGTTATTTATTTAAAATCTCACCGCAGCTCATATCCTCCATCGTGATTGAAGTATGTAAAGCACTAAAAATGGCACTTCGAGACCAAGTAAAGGTAGAGAATATGTTTATTGTTTGTTTATACATTTATGTACGTTAAGATTCTTGAAAATTTATATATTAACGATATTGCAAAAAATGTGCCTAGATCAGGGTGCTTTGCGTAGTTCATATAAATATTTTAAAGAAGTAAAGAAATTATATTAAAAAAAATTATTAATTTTCATTTATCTACATCATTAACAAAACTTTTATAAAATTCAACAAGTGTAAGTGTGCTAGTAGATGACGGCAACATTTATATTTCATCCGAATGTTGTGAGTGTGTTTGTGACTGTGCTATCAGATTGTGATGTAATAATCAGTGGTTGTAAACATTGAGGAGGAAGATTGAGGTGATTCTACAAGAAATGTAGGGGAGGGGAATGATGAAAAAGAAGCGAGAGGGGAAAATGATTCTGATTGAAGCATAAAATGAGGGCGAATTGATGCTCGAAACAGTATATTATTTATTTCGTTCATCGCATGTTGTCGAGTGATGTGGTCCATGTTTTTGAGCTTACCAGCAATTAAATTACCAAAAGCAATACATTCGTCAATTTCTTTTCTCCCTTCTTGCATTTTCGTCTGAAGATATTGAAATGTCATTTCCGCTCTTTCATCAGAATCATTTGTAAACTTTTTTCTTTTTTGATGTGCTCGGTTATCAGGAGCCACATCTTGTTCTCGGTTGGCCTCAGTTGTCTGTTGTGTATCGACCGTATCTGCATCTTCTGGAGACTCGGGAATAATAGAGGCATCATTGTCCCTATCATCATCATTAGATTTCGCTTCATTTGTCTGAAAAGAAATAAATAAATTCATTACTTCTGTCTTTAACAATGATTTAATTTGTAACATTTGTAATTGTTGTAAGGAACGGTATTTTAACTATACCCTTTCAACTGGTGGGTCAAAATGATATGAAATGATAAGAAAGTAATTATACAGGGTGATTCATGACGATACGTTCATCTGATTGACTTTTGGAAACTATATATATATATATATATATATATATAAATATATTCCTGATAAATGTTTAATTTTTTTTAATTTTTAACATTATTTTTAGATTCCTGCGACTTCTGGAAAAAAATGCAGATTTATTTGAAGTTAGATGGAATTTTCCAAATTGTGTTGGTGCTATAGATGGGAAACATGTAGTTATAATGGCTCCTATAAATAGTGGTAGTGAATATATAAATTACAAGGGAACATTTAGTGTAGTACTAATGGCTTTGTGTGACGCGGATTACAATGTAATATACAGTAATATTGGCTCACAAGGACGAATATCAGATGGAGGTGTATTCAATAATTGTTCTTTGTATAAGGAGTTGGAAAATAAGACCTTAAATCTACCTTCGGACAAACCATTGCCAATGAGAGCAAAGCCTGTGCCCTATGTTATTGTTGGCGACAACGCATTCCCTTTAAAGGATTACCTCATGGTTCCATATGGTGGAAATCATGACAATAACACACCAGAGCGTATATTTAACTATAGACTTTCTAGAGCCCGCAGAATAATTGAAAATGTATTTGAAATTATGTCTGCAGTATTTCGAGTTTTACGAAAACCCATTTTCTTAAATCAAGATAAAGCTCGATTGATTACGGAATGCTGTGTATTGCTACATAATTTTCTAAGAAGAATCAGAAACTCGAGAAATATGTACACACCTCCGGGTACATTTGATAGAGAAGAAAATGGAACAATTGTCAATTGTTCTTGGAGGAATGTAACGTAACCACAAACATCACTTTTGTCACTACAAAGAAGGGTCAGAAGAACATGCTCAGACGTGAAGAAAATTCGCGATGAATTTTCTGAATATTTCGTTACAAACGGCAAAGTTCCGTGGCAGGTCAAGTATCAATAATGATATAAAAATTATAATTTAAAAAGTAGTAGCAATAATTTTTTTTAAAAATACATGTACTTACCATTGTGTCTGTTACTCCATGCGGTGTATAAACATCTTTCATAAATTTATTGAGCGCTTCAAAAGCAAACCAAACTGGTTTGTAAACATCGCTTGTTCCGGCTCCTGTCTTTATACTATTCTTTGCTTTCCGACAACACTTTCTATAACTTTGCAACAAATGTTCATACTTCTTTATAATTTCTTCGGGAGTCACTCCAAACTTTTTTCCCAACGATTTAAAGGCATCACTTTTTTTATTTCTATTTTTTTTGTCTTCGTCTTTCGGGTCCCACAAATGACGTCGTTGTTCGATTTCATAAATTAAATCCAGAACAAGTTCATCAGACCACTGGAATTCTCCGGCCATTGCTTTTAATTATTAAACCACATGTAAACATAACCTATAATACACAATAATAATACAGAAATACACCCTCGTGATCATGGCCTTGGGCACACGAATTAACGCGCATCGTCTGAGCGGCTTCCTGAACGTCAACGAATCAGCAGTTCGTGGTGATTCGAAGCCTTTGATTTCGTCGATTTAGCGCTCTCAAGAGCGAATCACTGCGAACCGTTGCGAACTCGGTTCACGATTCGATTTTTAACGAACCAAATCCCTACACACGATGCGCGAATTAACGAATCGCGCATAACGAATCACGAACTGCGCATCGTCTGTAGCGAGCTTCAGAATGGAAAAGTCCGTAATATGATGCCAACAAGACATTAGTGAAAGCACATGCAAAATGCAACACCGGCTAGGAGTGCTGTAATTTTGAGCATACTTTACAAGTTTTAGGTCTACTGATAAATAGAAAGTGATTAAAATTTTGTTCGCTACACATTCGTTGAGTTGCCGCGGGATTGATAGGATTAGGTGACTGATGCCTTCTTGGTATATTGTATGTCCGGCCATTTGAATTTGGTTTCATAGAGCCTACAAAGTTTGTGGAGGGTGCGGTGAATTTTGCAACCTTCTTCCCATCATGTTCGATGGGTGAAAGGTCTGGAGATCGAGGAGTCCACTGGAGCTGATTTACTTCGGACGCTTCTAAAAAGTCTAAGCTAGCACATGCGACATGAGGTCGTACATTGTCCTGCTGAAAAAGTGGGTCTTGCAATGTTTCCGAAAAGGGAAGCAGATGTGGTTGTAAAACTTAGCGGATATAGCGCTGGGCAATCATGTTACCTTGAATGAACACTAATCATGACCTGCTGCAATAAGCAATGGCACCGCATACCATAACAGCCACAGTGCGATGAATATGCCGTTCAATGGAATATTTCACCACAACTGCTCCTTACTCTTGCACAGCCGTCATGTGTGCCCAAACAGAATCTAGACTCGTCGCTGAATACGACTGAGTTCCATTCCATATTCCATTCAAGTCTCTCCGTACTCCGTACCAATCGTTGCCGATGATGCTGTAGAGTCAGCGATAGTACAATATGGCGACGGTATGAAAACAGTCTAAAAAAAACTTATTCGGTAATGAACTATCCTCATTGTTATTGGCTTACCGACTGCATCAAACCACTTCTTCGCAACTGCCCTTGTTGTTGAAAAGCTATCTCTAAGTGCTGGTTGCCTCAAATAACGATCATGTCGCTCTGTAATCTGTCTTTGACGTCCAGTACCTCTAACTCGTCGATTTCAGCCTTCTTGGAACCACGCTCGACGAACTGATAACCATATACGAGTGGGTACCCAAATAAAAACCGGAATTATTTTTTAAAAGCTATTTATTTTCAACTTATTCACAAAGTAACCTTATGTCCTTCAAAATGCTGTCCACTACAACTAATACACTTGTCCCACCGGTGCTTCCACTGCTCGAAACATTCTTTGAAGTATTCCTTAGAAATGTCTGACAACTCCTCCCTCGTTTTTTTCTGGACCTCTTCAATGTCGTCAAAGCGGCGTCCTTTCATGCCTCTTTTCATCCGTGGAAATAAGAAAAAGTCGCACGCAGCCAGTTCAGGCGAATAAGGTTCGTGAGGCAGCGGAACCATGCCATTTTTAGCCAGAAACTGTCGAGCAGAGATGGCTGTATGCGCAGGTGCATTATCGTGGTGGAAGAACCAATCTCATGACTGCCACAAATCGGGTCTTCTTTGCCGAACGCTGTTTCGCAATCGACTTAAAACCTCCAAATAGCACAAGCTCTCGAATTTTTTCAACATTTTCGTCGATTCGGGCAGTTGATGGACGTCCAAAGCGAGGTTTGTCATCAATCGGCGTGTCGCCATTTTTAAATCAAGCAAACCACTCGTACCCCTGAGTTTTTCCCATAGCATCATCTTTGTAAGCTATTTTCAACATTAGCACAATTTCAGCAGCATTTTTACCAATTAGAAAGAAAAATTTCACAGCTGCAGGTTGCTCACTGAAGCTTGCCATCGTAAAAAACGAAACAAGCACGAAACAGCTCTAGACGTTGGCAGGGAGGTAGTAGATGTGAATTAAGAACGGATTTTGCGACAGGGCCGTATCAAGCGGGTTTAAGGGTACTCGCTTGAAATTCCTGCTGGATACCTAAAATTAGGTATAACGAGGTTCTTCTCATTGGGATCTTGAAAACTTTAAGAGATACGAAGTCGCTCAAGTAAGGACAAAGTTGAGTACTTAGGTAGTCAACAAAATGCCGCTTAGAAAGTTTCGAAATTCAAAGTACTTCCGGAGAGAGACGGGAAAAATCGATTTTCCAAAATCGTTTAATTTTTTTTTATTTGTAGTGGTATTTCAAAATAAATTACACATTATCATTGCTACTTTTTCTCCCTACAAGATGGCATAATTAGAATTTCATTATAACGTTTCATGTCATCCAACATCAACTTTATTTTCTCTTATCGACGCCAAGTTGGATTTTTGGATGAATGGAATTTTTAATTCTGTTTCAAAAATCTTAGTGCTTGAAAAAAGCAGAATTTCCTAAGTATGCCTTGATATTATCAGATTGTCATTTGTTTGACATACCAGATTTACCCTAAAATCACTTTTATTTTTCCCTGTCTGTATTTGAGATGGGATTTCAAAATAAATTGCATGTTGTAATTGTTACTTATTCTCCTCTATAAGATGGCGTAGTCGAATTTTCGATTTGAGATTATTTCGACTTCCATCACCAACTTTATTTTTTCATGTTATGGAATTTGTTGTTGGATGAAAATCATAAATAAATAAAAACCTGAATACAACATGAAAATTTTATTAATGGCAATAACAATGATAATCATAAATAAGCAGAGGCAAATCATAGCAGATGTTCGAAATATCCGTTATTTTGTACATTGTTCACTGCTCGATTTATTTCTCTTCTTCTGAGTCTTCCAAACTCTGTGGCTATGTCCAATTTGAGGTCTGGCCTGGTATACAAACGAAATGAAATCTGGTAACTCCAAGGCCTATCTAGGGAATTTTGTTTTTCTGGAATAACTAAGGTTTGACGATGTTATACATTTTTGAAATCAGAACTAAGTACTCTAAAAAATAAAGATGATGCTGGAGTACAAGAGACGAAACGTCATATTGGAATCCTAATTAAGTCATCTTACAGAGGAGAAAACGTGGTAATGTTAATGTGCAATTTATTTTGAAATCCCACTACAATTAAAGTCAGGAAAAATCAGAACGATTTTGGGAAAATTTGTTTTTTTTTCGTCTCGCCCGGAAGTACTTTGGAGTTCTAAACTCTAAACAGCATTTTATTGATAAATACGCAACTTTGTCCGCATTTGAGCAACTTTGTATCTCTTACAGTTTCCGAGATCCGAATTTAAGCCGAAAATGGTGCTGTTTGAGATGAAGTGCTCAATTTTAAGTGTATTGAATCACAGCAGGCCTAAAAAGGGTTAATATTTGTATAAATAGGAAGATTAACTGAACGCCGGCCAGTTATTGGTCAAAAAAATGAAATGCTAAAAATCAGGAACTATGAGACTTACTAAAACAAATTTTCTAATTTGCAGTTGCAGGATTATCTTTCATTTTTTTGACACCATGTATAACTGACTGATTTGTTTCTCCAACAAATTTAAAAATATAATAGAACATATCCAATTTTAACACCTCTGGAATCCGCAGAAACCTGAGCCCGTTTGCAACGTCTCAGAAGTCCTTACTTTTTGAAGACGCCACAGGTAATTGTCCTGCCGTCACTCTGTACCGTCACTGGCAAGCGTTACAGTGACATGTTGCAAAACTTTGCGGCTCCTAAAAATTCAATAACTTAAAATGCAAGAGATGTAATTTCAAGTTGGAACATACTGCTAGAAAGACGATGTTTTCAAGGCATTTGATCCTCCCTTTGGCGATGTCATGTGGCCTCCAAGAACACCACATGTCTAACTGAGACGACTTTTCAATAATGTTACTAAAAAACCAAGCATTGTAGATGACCTGAAGGGTAATATTCTTTTAATTATTTAAGCCGTTGTTTCGGAAACCTACCAAAAGTCACAGAAAACGTTATGACTAGGGCTTAGGTTTTGTGCGGCTTGTAAATTTTCCATACATAACTCCCATCTTTCAATAATAAGACTAAGATAAAAAAGTCAGTAATACGAGTATATTGCCCCCCCTATACTTTTCGCGATCTACTGTCACAACTCGATATGAAGCTCAGATGATACATAGCCTGGATAACGTTCTCATGTCTGTAATACTAAAAAATCACATTCAACAGGCATTGTTTCATATCAACGGGCGGTTCTTGAACAATTATGGTTTTTGCAGTGGTCCAGAGTTCCCCAAACTTTTTTGTGTCGTAGACCCCTTGCCATGTTTTTCCGTGTTGGGTAGACCCCCTACTTACCTGATATTGATTTCCTGTAAATTTCTAACTGTAGTGAAGTTTAGTGTTAAAAACTTAAAGTAAAAACACATGTTAATTTATAAATTTATTAATTGAATTTAAATTAAAACTACTCAAAATAAAATTTTGTATCTGTTATGTAAAATGTACGTAACATTAAATAAACAGGTGTCTGACCAATAAGTGCCCGCATTGGGATAAGTGCCCGCATTGAAAAAAAAAATAAGAGGGATAAAATGAAAAAAAAAGTGAAAAATAATAAAAAAAAAAGTTTTTTACTTAAAATAGTACAATAATCGAGTTCGTTTATTAATTATAACATAAACGTATGTTCTACAATAATTTCACTGTTAGTTTGATTAAATTCCGCTTCTTATACGTTTAAGTTATCTAAAAATAGGCAAAAAATTAACGAATTTTAGTGTGTACCTATCCTTGAATTTTCAGAATAATTTAAAAAAAATAGATTTTCTATATTCTTTAAAAAAATCAATGTGGGCACTTATTCCCAATGCGGGCATTTATTGGTCAGACACCAATAAACATAAAATAAACTATAAATAAAATAACATAAGCAATAAGTCAATATTTTTAGTGAGGATGAACCTGATGCTTTAATAATAAATTATCAACATTTGGCGTCAATTTTGTAAGGGTTAATCTTAAATCTCCCCGGCTATCATTAGCCGGTCTGTTTCTTTTTTTCGTTAGGAGATTGGTAACAGAACCCCCTTTCCACTAGGTATGACGATGGAAAGGAAATTAAAAATTTCCTCGCTATATTCCATAATACGGGATAAGTAACGGGTATGTTGTTTTGCAGCCAGAATTGCTGATATCCGTTTTTAAACTGAACCTTAAGTTCTTCGTTTGTACTTAGTTCAGTCAGTTCCTCTTGTATTATGACATTCGTTTCTTCACCATATGGATTAATTATCCACGCTGGTACTACCATAGTCAAAATATCCTCAAACCTAGATTCAAAATCTGAATAGAGGGCATTTAAATGTTGAACGTAAGTTGAAACGTCGTCTTCCTGGCAGCTTGTCTGTGACAAATTGGGGAACTGAGAAAATTCGCCCCGTCCAATATTTTGCTTCATTAGTTTAACTCTGGCAAGAAACGCTGATAAGATGGACTTTGTTTTAATCAAATTTAAACTGTCGCCTTGTAATTGCAAATTAACCATATTAAATTTTGTAAACAAATCTGTTAAATAGGCGATGTCTGTTTTCCTCTTCATTAAATTTACTTTTAAAATTTTATCTTTAGTATCCAGAAATTCTAAAATAGTCTCAAAAAGTGCAAAAAATCTTGTCAAACATAAGCCTTTTGACAGCCAGCGTACTTCAGTGTAAAGAAGTAATTGATGAAAGTGTTCGTCAATTTCTTCACACAACAACGCGTTGCTTCGGATTCGGTTTACTGCATCAAGGACTAAATGAAGTGATTCATGCAATCTAACACTCAAATTGTTAGCAACTAAATGTTGTCGGTGGATGACGCAATGTATTGCTAACACCCCTGACACATTTTGTTTTAAATAGCTTATAAATCCACGATAACGTCCAACCATGGCAGGTGCTCCATCTGTAGCTACTGATATTATATTTGATAAAGGAATTGCTTTTTCAATGAAGTAATCCTTCAAATCATGAAATATAGATTCACCTTTAGTGTCGGTTATCAAAGTTCTTGCGAAGAGCAGTTCTTCGTAGATTTCTTGATTCATAATAAAACGAACATATGCCAATAATAATGCTGCATTATCAGGTAAAGTTGACTCGTCCAGTTGTATAGAGAAATGGGTCGTTTGCAAATAATTACATAACAAGCTTTCAATACCAGAACTCATTTCATCAATACGTCTTTCAACAGTATTGTTGCTTAAGGGAATTCTTTTAATGATATCAGATGCAGGTTTGTGTAAAACAGTTTTTAAAACCTCTTCAACGGCTGGCAAAATTAACTTCTCTCCGACAGTATGCGGTTTTCCGGATTTTGCTATAAGTAACGAGATATTGTAAGACGCCCGCAAACCATCATCATTTCTTTGTGACGTCGAAGCGAACATTCTGTCCAGTGTAGGTCTCTTCTGAAATTTATCTTTGAGTGTTTGAAAGTATTTCAAATCTTTCTCTGTTTTATCAGGGTGGCATCTTCTCAGATGATCTTGCAGTTTAGATGGTTTCATAGCGTCATTGCCCAAAACTTTGTTGCATAAAAGTCACATAGGCGATTGTTTGTCCGGCAATGATGGAATGAAGCCAGATTTCAAATAATCAACACTGTACTGTCTACATTTCTTTTTAGATTCGGACATGGCATCAGTCATCTGTGGGCAAAATTAAATTATTTAAATAAGACAGAAAATCCAGCAGCTATATATTAAAAATATTTTTTGCTTTTTCCGAAAACATTCCATAATTCGAACATCTTCTTGCAACAAGCTCGAATTACGGAGATTGCACAGTAATTATATTACCGATTGCTAAAACTTTCAAAAAGAAACTATTGAGGAGTACTCGTGTAATTTTGCATGATTGAATATTTAACTACTAATAACTAAAGTCGTGATTGGCGTAATTTATCTATCTTTGCTAACTACGAGTACAAAACTAAAATTTAATAAAAAATAATGTACTTACTTTTCTCCAGCACTCTCAAACAAAATAACACTGACTCACTATAATTTGTGTGATATACTATCTGTTTATATTTTTTAAAATATTTAGCACTTTCCTTTTCAAGATTCAGGAAACGAATTTGTCCCACATTCGTATTTATAGAGTGGCAAATTGAACAAGTCAGTGCAAGGTAGCGAAGCTCTGAGACTGCGACTCTCAGGTTTTTACAAGTTCAAAATGTATTGCGACAACAAAGCGAATACCAACATCCTACAACTTACACAATCTTATAAACATATATAATAAATTTTTTACTTCATAGGTACTTTTATAAATAATGTATATGTTTTGATATTATAAGATAGTATGATGTAAGTAAATAGGTACTATCAGTGTATGTGTTGAGATCCACTATCGTGGACCCCCATATTCATTTCATGGACCCCCAAATTTTTTTTCGCTGACGTAGACCCCATGCAGGTTGTCATAGACCCCAGGGGTCGATATAGACCACTTTGGGAATCAATGCAGTGGTCGGTGGCTTGTCGGTTACTGTGACTAGGATCGAACAGTGTGAATTTCGTTTATACAGGGTGTCCCAGATAAGGATCCTATGTATGGGGATCTCAATACCTGTGCGAGATACGGCTTAGGTTAAATTAGGAAAAAAAGGCGTTCTTTGGGGCGTATTTGCAAGCCGTTGAGAAACTTGTAAAAATTTCATGGCTTACTGAGATATTTGGGTAAAACTAAAATTTGGCCAAATCATTTTTATTTTACGAAATCTCAAGAAAAGTAATGAAACTTTTCCATTGGCACTTTTTAGGCACTACATGATGGAGTATTTAATTTCTGTGCCCGACACCCTGTATCTCTATCTAGCATGTTTATACGAATCCAACGATGTATCACATATTACATTTATTTTCTTGGTTATAAGGAAAAATACGTTTTTTTAAACATATTTTTCTACTAAACTAAAGAAATAAATGTAGCATGAGATAAATCGTTGAATTTGTAGAAAAGTATGCTATCAGATACTGGGTGTGCTTTTTTCCTGACCATATAAAAAATAAAGTTGATGATGGTTTCTCAAAAACGAAACGTCGGGCACAATTAAAGACACCTTCCTTCATGTAGTGTCTAAAAAGTGATAATGAAAAAGTTTCATTCGATTTCCGATATTTCTTAAAATGAAGCCAGAAAAAATAAAAACGATTTGGCCAAATTTTAGTTTTTTCCAAATACAGTCAGCCATGAAATTTGTACAAGTTTCTCAACGGCATGTAAAAACGCCCCAAAGAACGCAGCTTTTTCCTAATTTAACCTAAACAGTATCTGCTCCCACAGGTATTGAGATCCCCATGCATAGGACCTTTATCTTGGATACCCTGTATATCCTAGTAGAATAAACGGAATGCATGTGACCGGATCATGGACAGGTTATTGACTGCTGTACAAACAAACCATAAACCTTCTACCGATGTACCAACGGACTTTGCAGTTTATAGCAGTCGACATTCAGCCTCTGCATTAGTAACAACTGTATAAAAAATATGAGCATTTTCTTGTCCAGGACATCGAAAACTTTGTGACCGGCTGGGTAGACTGGAACATGGTTCTGAACCTTGAAGGAGGCCCCACCGTATACAATAATCCTCTGGATGCTCCGATCATCATAAACGGCACAGGTGGCGAGTTCTACAAGCAGCCAATGTTCTACGCCATGGGACATTTTTCAAAATTCGTCCATCCGGGGTCACGAAGGATTCAAACTCAACGTTACAGCGAAGATGTTCTGGTAGCGGGCTTCTTGAGACCCGATAAGATAAAAGTACTAGTCATCATGAACAAGTGAGTTATTAAATCTGCCAATGCACATAAAAACTTACGAAAGAAACTGTTAAAAACCTGGCGATAAAATCAACCATGAGTCTTTACCGAATAAAGTATGCAAACTTGGTTTTTCAGATGATGCTAAGGCTAAGATCTTCCTATCCTGTGGTCCTATTTATTTGTTCTTCTAGTCTGGAACCTGCGTAACACTTTATCGCAAAAACATACACCTTCGCCCACACATTAGACCTTAGGTAAAACATTTGAAAAATCAATAATTACAACAGATGTTGTGAAAATCTTCCTTACTCTGGAGGTGAAAATATACATAATATTGGTCAGCGAATCTAATAAGAAATTTCATAGTGTTTCAAACATGGCGACTTTGAAACAACGTTCCTCAATAGTATTTGGATTCAAACTGCAAACCATATTTAATTGATTGGCCTCCAATCTTGGAACAAATCAAACTGCATACCCTGAATCGATAACTATTAAGCCTTCTATGACCACAGTAAATACTGATTGTCTATGAATAAGGAATAGAATAATATACTCAAAATAACTCTGCTGGTGGACACATCAGGTACAGTCACATGCAACTCATCGAAACGTTGAACCTGCGATATGGGACTTTGAATCCAGCACGAGGGTTGTTCCTCTGAATTCCATTATATAATCGGACATTTTACCTTTGTTTCAAAGAGTAGTTATTCCAAGAGAAGACAAACAATGGGTATATTCTTTAATTCACCGGTTGAGCTACCGGTGCAACCGGTTAGCAAAGTTTGCGTCCTTTAATTTCCGCTGGAACGACCGGTTGTACATCAAACTTGTCTCTATATTGATGGTGGATATGCCACCGGTGCCAACAGCATCCACCGACGTTCGGGCTCGGTTGATCCACGATATTCTAACCTCTACATTTTATCAGTTTTTGACAAATACAGTTTTGTGTGAAAAAATAGAATAAGAAAAGAATAAAGTTAGCAGCATAGGAGTCGCGTGAAATTTAATGTTTTTTTCAACACAATTTGAAATAAACAGAGCATCTGAAAGCAAGTCAATTTGTTTTGAATTATGCATATCGACGATCTCAAATCAATACCTCGTAAGTCCGAAAATGTCGATTTTCTGATTTTGTTCTGTTTTTATTCCTGTATGAATACAGGAACGCTCTCAGAAAATACATATCGATGGTTCTTATATGGGAAGCATCGACGATATCAAATCAATGCCTCGTATTGATTTGAGATCATCGATATCTGACAATTTCTTGGTTTTCTGATTTATAGTTCTTATATTGATTCTCGGAGCGCAAATTCTCTCCGCTGGATAACTTCTTCATCAGAATCATCGCTCGAATCGCTTAACAAACGTTCTACGACAATACCAACTGCTGCGTACATTTCCATAATGATTTTAAATGATACGGTGTTCAAATTAACAAGTATCCATTTACGATAAAAAAAAGGTTAGGTTTTCACATATGACAGCAACCTGAAGGCTAAAAATGCGTCTTTTTTATTAACGACCATTCAACGGAACCGTTACTGACGTGTTACAGAACAAATGAATGAGCGGTCATCTGTTAATCTTATGGCACTTATATTTGCCATGAAATATTTTACGATGGAGCACAAGGTAATTTTTTTTAAACTTTAGGTTCGGCGTTTTGTATTGACATCCATTGACAAAATGCCTCAGTTCTGGTACAAAATGCCCCGGAATAATAAAATGAAAGAAACCCTTAAAAAACAACAAACATTCTTCATTATCGGTTATATCTCCCATAAAATAAGCAAAAACCTAAAAAAAAATATTTTACATCAAGTGGAAAGAGTCATCATACCACTCTTCTTTGCATAAAAGAAACAAAACTTTGAAAAAACAGCATAAGTACTATTCTAGTCCTATTAGATACCTATTAAGTTGAAACAAACTTTATAATCCATCCTAACAGTCATCATATATCTCTCATGGTTGGCGGTTCTTCCTAATAGCTTCGAACTCGTGTATCCAAAAAGAGCAAGATGGGCACTTTATCCAATCTTCTTTAGAAGTCGTCTTATAATTATTTTCCATGCATTCCTTACACCTGTTTTTATCTTCTTCTGATATTTCTTCATCCGAACCATTTCGGCTTTCTTCCTCATCACTTTCACTCTCTGATGACTCATATTTTGGTTTATTTTCCTTTGCTTTGGCATTTTCTTTGTTTTTTATTTGAATTGGATTCTCTGAAGCTTAATTTTTTCACATGCTTTGGTTTTTTAGAAGTTCCCGCAGGTTCTTCTCCTCTTCAATAATTTTCCGTTTTTGTATATTTTCTGGTGACGTTAAAATAACAGCTTTCTGTTTTCTCTTTAAAGTCATTGAAGGTAGCTTCGGTACAGGGTGTGTACTTTAGCCAAAACCTTCGTCGGCGTTTCTTTTTCTTCAGGAAATTCGCAGAGTATCTCAGGACGTTTCGGAGGCGTTATTTGAATTGGTGGCTCCAGTGGTACTACATTAGCCTCCGACAATTTTATACTAGTATGTGGTTCTTTTTTGTCAATCCTTTGATGATCACTTACCAGAACTCCTCGTAAAGTATCTGCCGATGATACTTCTGAAGCATTGATATCATCTTGCTCTAAAGGATTTTGATCCCTCTGCACTGGAAATGACATCTTCCTCATTAGGTTCATTTGCTACTAAGTCTTGATCTCTTAGAGCATCAGATAAAGAATAAGAGTATGATGGAATAGCATCTCGGTCGTAAATAAAAGAAAATATATAATTGTAAAACTGGGGCATATTAAACTATGACAGCCGGGGCATTTTGTAAATTTCTAATTACAATACGCCCCAGGGTAAACATGGCCACCATGAAAGGTAAAATTGTAGGTTATATATCAATGTTTCCATAGTCCTAAATGTAATTTTGATACAAAAAGTAGGTCATTATATTCAATAATGTGTACAGTACTCACCGCGATATGTCTCAAGATCGTATTTAAAGATTTTACTATAATTTAAAATTAAATGCAAAAATCACACTCTCATGGCAGTCAAGTCGTAGAGATACTATTTTCATTGCATGCGCGTTGCAACCCGTTGTCTATACGTATATCTGTTTGAGCGACAGCGTTGTGGGGCATATTGCCCGCTGGGGCGTATTAGAGGTTTACCCTATGTTTACTTATTTCGTATGAGTTTTTGACCACCAAAAACCAGGAAAAACCAACCATTGAGAACCGTGAATCGCAGCATACTGCTTGGAGCTGTATGGATCTTAGGCCGGGAATTGGAGGCCCACTCACCACGTGATAACCTGGACATTGCTGAGAAGCACAAAATAGCTATCCATGGTGAGCTCCCTTTGGTCGAACTGACGAAAGCAGAGCCTGTTTATTTTGTTCAATGGCAAAGAGGCCACATCCATAGTCAGCTAGAATCGTTATAATCACGTGGTAACTGGGCGTCCAAGTCGCGGACTGAGATGTATTCAATCCCAACCGGTAAACTGCGATTCACTGTTCACAGTGGTCGATCCTAGGTGCAGTTGGCGCTTCGCGCTGTCTTATTTCCATAAATCTCATACTTTTGATAGTGTATAGTTACTATGCTTTCGCTCGTTGTCCGAGAGACCCAAGCCTGGACCATGTGAGTAGTAGCCAAAAAACACGAAACAGCTGTCCGCGAAACTGTCTTTGGCCGGACAGACGAAAGCAGAGCATTTTCATTTTGTCAGTTTGGCAGAGAAGCAGAATGCCCAGCCAACTATGAGCGAATCGCCAAACCAAAGACTCATAGATTTGTATACCAATAATAATTCAAGATCTAATATGTTTAAAACAATGGGAAATTATTGGACAATATGCTAGATAAAATTAAAATCCCAGTTAAAACATCAAAATTCGCTTTCTGAGTTATAGAACAGTCAAGGATCATTAGTTTTATGATGATCTACAGTTCTTGACACATACCCAAAAACTACAAGGATTTTCCATTCTGTTGAATATCAAAATGCTTGTGATACTTTCTGTTTGATAATGATAGTAAACTTTAGGAACTCGATATCTGTTTTGTTACAAGGATAAAATATTTTCAAAGTTTCATTTTTCGCCTGCCACAATTGAAGACACAAGTGGATAACGGTATCATGTAACATAATCATTGTATAGAGAAAATTGACCTTGGAACATTTTTTTATTGACATTTCAAATATTTAGTTTGATTAGTTTGTTATCTTGTTTTTGCAACAAAGTAATTACAGAATGAAAGAATAACTCCTTAATGTTAGTTTATTGCAAAACGAGCAATTTTTAAGAAATGTTACAAGACACCTTTATCCACTTGTGTCTTCAATTATTTTGTCCCGATAAACGCAAAAATATTTCATTTCAGGTCTTCAAAGAAACGGAATTTGACCATCAGAAATGTGGGTAGTATGAATAAAATCAATCTAACACTATCCAGAAGCTCGTTTACCACTATTCTTTTCTGAAACAATGTTAATTTCCTGCTTATCAAATAAATGTTTTAGAATTAACTTTTTTTTTCACATACATCATATACACTAAAAACCAAATACCACTGACGTTGTAATGAGAAAGAATAAGAATAAGAATAAAATGGCGGTCGCTTTTGAGAAAAAAATTTATATCAACCTTGATTGTCTGCGATAAATGAAAAACATAAGCGCCCGAGTAAGTATATACACATATATAGGATAAAAACTAATCTCGATTAAATTACCTACCATTTTGTATATAATGGTCTATAGCGACAAGTCAATAATTCAGACGATAATATGACCTCCCAATATAAAGGGTATGCTGATCGCTATCCGTCCCGCCGCTGCACCAAACGACACATTGCATATATACAGGGTGCGGCAGAGAGGATGGACGGTTTTAAAAAAATCATAAAATAGTTAATTTTTACTCGAAAACAAGTTTATTGATGGAATCAGGTTCACAAGGAAATAGCATTTGAGACAGTCAAGTGTGGAAAATCACATCAGGCATGTGGTGGCCGGAATCGTTGATGCAGTGCTGGAGGCGTTCTTGGAAATTCGCGTGGACTCTCTCTAACATCGCTCTCCCAACTTGGGCGACTTCCACGAGAATTTCGCCCTTCAATTCGTCCAGAGTTCGGGGCTTGTTCGCATATACTCTAGCCTTGAGGTGTCCCCATAAGAAAAAATCGCATATGGATAAATCTGGGGACGGAGGAGGCCAATGAACATCGCCAAACCTGGAAATAAGGCGACCAGGGAAGAGAGGGCGAATAACGTCCATGGATGCTCGGGCTGTGTGGGCGGTCGCCCCATCCTGCTGGAACCACACACGTCGGATTGGAACACGTCGCCGTCGTAATTCAGGGAGAAAGAAGTTGGTGATCATGTCGACGTAGCGCTCTGAGTTCACGGTAACATCACGACCATTACCGTCTTCGAAGAAGTAAGGAAAAATGATGCAAGTTTGCGATTCAGCGCACCAAACCATTACTTTTGGGCTGTGCAGCGGTCTTTCGTGTAACTGTTGCGGATTTTCATTAGCCCAATAACGACAAGTCTGCTGGTTAACCATGCTGTTTAGGTAAAAGTGGGCTTCGTCACTCATAAACAAAATGAGGTTCTCATTTTGATCGATCAGTGCTTCCATCTCACGTGCGAAGTTCATTCGTTGTGCATAATCTCCGGGCTGTAACTGTTGCACATTGGCCAATTTGTAGGGGTGGAAGCGGAGATCCATATGTAAAATTCGCCTTACCGAACGATCACTAAGGCGAAGTGCAGCAGCATGTTTCCGGGCAGATCGAGTCGGACTGCGAAGAAAGACCTGTCGAACGCGTTCAATATTTTCAGGAGTTCGAACTGTTCGCGGCGCTCCTCTTGGTCTTCTGTTGATCAGTTCACCACGCCTGCGAAGTGATTCAACCCAACGAAGGATGGTGTTTCGAGAGGGAACAGATCTATTCCGATGAATGTTGAAGTGGCGACGAAACTCACGCTGTACGACGATGACTGACTCATTATTTCGGACGAAACAATCATAGGCGAAAACGCGGTGATCCACCGTCCAAGCCTCCATAACGATAACTGGTAAAATAATGCTAGGATCTCACGAGTCAAACGGCACCCTCCCCACCTCTCTCGTAGATGGAGGCGGAGAGTACTACCCATCCCAAAAACGTCCGTCCTCTCTGCCGCACCCTGTATGATAAATATGTCATCACGGTGGATCACATCCTTTTATTTGACCATTATTCTTCGAACACGAGTGCTGATACTTTATACATATATTTTACGTTATATTTATCTTATATATCTAACAGATCAATAGTTGTTAGAAATATTACAGAATAGAGGCTCTGAGGGCGATTTCGATATCGACGCCCAGGAATGGGAAAATATCCGATCAAGAAATTCTAAACGATTGTTGAACAAACTAATACAGTCAGCAGTGGCGCTCCCAGGATTTCAGTCTGGGAGGGGAAAATGGAAAGTAAATTCTCTGTGTCGTACTGAAGTGTTATAATGATTTAACATTAAAAGCAGGAACATATACATACATATGAATTTGTTACAGTAATTTCTGTAAAAAATACGTACAATTTTTTTTTAATTTTGAATCATACGAAATCAAAGTGTAAATGAAGCAAACCATGCTCGAGCAATCTTCATATATTAAAACAAAACTACAAAATAATATAATCTATCACAGACTTTTCTACATAAAAATGTCGGACAAAACAACAAAAAATACATCTTCATGAAAAAAATAACAATAACAACTGTGTTACGACTTCTATAAAGTATAAAACTGAATGTAAATCAAAATAAAATGCTTAATCATGAGAAAAACAAAAAAATATCCATTCTCTTAGCCAGCCTCAAAAAACAAAAACATATAAACTATGAAACTACATCAGTTCACAGTCTCAAAATAAAACAAAGATTACATTAGCTTAGAAAGTGATTTGAACAGAATTTATATCAATCTGCTGGCCAATAAATAAAACCACATATCTTGATTGGATACTTTGGAAAAGATCACCGTGCTGGTTTAAACGTAAGGAAACCCTTAACTACATCTACTTCTTTATTTATTAGCCAACAGAAGGGAGATGGATTTGGGAGACAACCTTAGGCAAAGTTCAGGTGTTATCATATTAACAAATCAAGGCGCCTATTATTTTTGCTGGCGAACCGATCTAAGATTGTATTCACGTCTATTTTAATGTCACTATGCATATACAAAAGAGCTAACCCCACTAATCGCTCTTGTAACATAGTGGAGCGCAGCCAAGTTTTTATCCTCTTTAGATGTCGCAACACTTACCGGCAATGAAATCCATAATTGTAGGCATCTATTAATTGAAGCAAAAATGTTTTCATCACATGATAAATACAGTGGCATTCCACTGTCTATAATATCTTGTGTACGTGACTTCCAAATGTCAAATTCTGCTTTTATTCGGGTACTAAATTTTTGTTTTCGTTACTATTTAGTCCATGCAAATATTTAGAGATTGTTTCTAATATGTCCATTACTTCAGCTTCAGTTATTGAATTAAATACTGACGCAAAGAAAATATTAAAATTGTATATATTCAAAGATTATTCGTTGAACCGGTATATCAAATCCTGTAATATATTATCTAGCAAAGGGACATATAGGTTCAGTCTGTAATGATTTTCCTTGTCAGACGTAACTGTGTTCGGCCTGTTCATTTGCCTGCTTGTTATTCTTGGCACAGTCAGTTCAATACCCAGGGTTTCATGTGATTTCATTATAGATGCGAACAGTATTCTAAAGTGTTTTTCCGGAATTTTCGTGTCTTTCTTGTACAATTGAAATAATATTTCCTATGAGTTTGACAGCGTATTGTTTGTCAATTGTTTTATATTGTAAAATCTTACTCAGGTTGACTGTTAAAGCTAATATATCACCCAACTCTAAACCGTATTAGCTCTCTAAAATTCCCTTCATTATTAAGGACATCCTCGTCATTCGTGCTGTCATTCGATAAAAAGTCGTCCCCTATCTCTATGCCGTCCAAGTGGTATATTTTAGCGTCCTAAAAAAATTATAGATTATATTATAGATGTCAATCTTTGCCGATTTTCTGATACTTGCTTAATTCGCTCTGAACCTATTATATTTATTATATCATTCTCTGGATTTTCGTACATCTTTAAAAAGTTTGTAGCATCTGAAACTGCTTCTGTATGATATAATGATTTCTCATGTGTCTCACAATCACTGGTTTTGCCATACAATTTCGAAAATTTCTTTAGTGGTACGGTAACAAGTTTTCCCAATTTAGCTAATTCATGTACTCCTCCTAATTTTGCAAAAACCACGCAATATTTACAAAAAAGCCCTTGTAGTTCCTCTGAATATGACAACCAAGGAAATTTCTCAAAGTGTTTTTTTGATAAGTAACATTTCACTTCTTTATTATTTTTCAAGTGTGTGGAATAGGCATATTTTGAAGAGTCATTAGGGATCATTGCACACCTCAATAAGGTATATTTTTCATGGGAAGACAAGTTGCCGCTGAAATTTACATATGACGCAACATCAACAAAATTGAATCCTTTAGGTTTCGCACCCGACTGTTCAACACTTGGTTCAGCATACGGTGATCAAGAAATTTTGAAGTGGAAGGCTCAGGTTGAATTGTAGGATTATCATCAGTTTTTTCCAGTAATTCTCGTGCCGGTGGATAAGACAGTTTGTTTTGTTTAGAAAGGAACCAATCGAGTGTATTCTGTTTCCTTTTACTCATCCTGACAATAGCAGCCATCAACCAGCACTGAAAGTTACACAAATATTTTCAAATAAACGGCATTATTGGTTTCCACGCACTCACGTATCTCATAACAAAGAACCTTTTCTGTTTGGAAAACAAGATTTCTTAAGTTCACGCAATTTTCAAAAACTAAATATATAATTTCGGACAAACGAAATGCACTGAAGTGCTTATATACAGGGACTTCCGAGACAAAATAGACATAGATGATAATGATAGCTGGAGTATGTTGTACCAAACACTTCGTAATTGAAATTATATTAAATTTCCATTTTCCCGTCTGTCATTTTTTTAGACACGATTCTTTTATAGTATAAAAATTAAAAACAAACAAAAATTAATTTTCTGGCTTATGCGTGGAAAATATAAAATCAATAGAACATAGAAAATAGCGTTAATACCAACCAGATCAACAAAACTCCGCTTGTTCACTTCTCAGCCAAATTTTGTTGCGGACTCCGGACTGGTACAGAATTTAGACACTAAACTAGACCATAAAATACTAGACTATACCTGTTCCAACATGAAGAAGCGTACCCCGTTGCTGTTGGTGGGAGAGTAGTCGCTAGTCGCATGCGCACTGAGCGGGTTGGCAGCGTTGCCGCTATCCTTTCTTAAAGTTACAGACGTTTTAAAAGACTGCTAGAGTCGTCTAGGGAGGTAATTACCCCCTTCACCCCCCCCCCCGTGGGAGCGCCAGTGACGGGGTGGGGAGCCTTCTATGTAACATTTTTCCTCGAGGGCTTCATTAAAAAGTTTAAAAATAAAAAACATTTTTTTTATATCTTCAAAACCGTCAACTGGAATGAACTTAAATTTGATACGTGGATTTACGTAACTATTGTCCACATTCAAAAGTCTTTACTCAAAATTAACGTGCACCAGTGGCGGAGATACTGGGGATTAGTGCCATTATTTTTCAAAATAAAAATAGTACGCCACTGTCTAGAGTGCACTGTTTTCGTAAAAATTAAAACAATACAAATTAGATCGTTCATAAAGAACCGAGATACAATTATGTAGTTTCAAAATAAAATACGAGGCCTTGATACCAACTTGACGTTTCGTGAGGGATGGTTTGTCAAAGTTATGTGTTATACTGTTGTTTTTTGAGTGTTGTGAAATGGAATTTAGCAACGATGAGTAAGCCGATATTATTTTTGTGTACGGGTCCTATAGATTTCCCAACAGACGCCAACCTACCCCAAAGGTTCTTACGCGTTCATTTCTAAGACTAAGAGAATATGGAATTGCCAAACCGAGTTAGAGGCCATGGTGTCCGGCCTACTGTTCAAGAGGAACTGGAGTGATTAATTTGTCGTTGGATTGGCTGGATTGCAGTACAGTTACCATATTCAAAACGTCTTGCGTGGAGAATTTTAAATTGGGAAGTTTTACATCCTTACCATCGGCAAAATGTGCCATGTCTGCAACCCGGCGATGAAGTGCAACACTTGACTCAAAATTTTGAACGTTCCAATTGTATTTGTATAGTATATTCAGATTTTGTTACTAGTAGTGTGTCTATGGGGATTGAATCTCACTGTTTCTAAAATCCGCCACTAGAGGCGCTGGCGTCGTGCGCCATTGATGAGTTGGACGGAATCTGTATGTGAAATTGATGAGTTGGGGATTCCGCCGCTAGATGGCGCTGTACAAACCAAACGGAATCTATGTGTCATTGGACACCTGTCATGGGTCATTGGGCATCTCGCGCATAGATGGCGCTACACACGTCATCTGTCATACGTCATTGGACACCTGTCATTAATGGGTTGGGCATCTCGCGCATAGATGGCGCCGATTTGTTGTCTGGCGCTGTACAAACCAAACGGAATCTGTATGTGTCATTGGTCACCTGTCATTGATGGGTTGGGCATCTCGCGCATAGATGGCGCCGATGTCGCACCTGGATGGTGTTGGCGTCGATATACGGGGGGCAGAAATTTAGAACCTGTATACAGGGGTGCATCGAAAAATAGCGGATCGATGGACCGACGGTATATCGTTAAATCGTATATACTGTTATTATACAGGATGATACCGTTCAAAATGAAAATAGTACATGTATAATGGATATTTTATTGAAACATATAGTATTTATAACAATAAGGTTGATTGGTGTGTGTGTGTGTGTGTGTATGAAATTTTCAGTTGCCTACAGTGTCGTCTGAATCAATATCGCTGTGTTCTGGTCGTGCAGGTAGATTGAATGATTCTTTTAAGTGATGCTTGTAATTATCAGGGAGTACTTTAGATGTTGATACTAATCGACTCAAATCATTCTTCGACAACTGATTTGGTTCATGACAGACAAAAATCAAATTATGTATTTCACGGTTCAGTTCTGGTTGTTTTTCCCTAAAAGCATCGTAATTAGCCTCCTCGCTGGTTATGTTTGGTTTTACCATTTTTTTATATCAACCTCTTTTTGAACAAAACAATTGCTTGCGACTGGTTTGAATGATTGATACTGTAGCACTGCTACTGCTGATACACAGACTTTATGTAGTAGAATGATGGTGGGGGTGGGGAGTCGAAGGAACCGAATGTTTTTTTTTTGTTTGACAACAGGCTGAATACGAAATAAACATAGCTTTCAGAAAAATGTATTTTTTAATGATATACAGATACAAGTTTAGATAACAGAGTTTTTAGTTGATGTAACAAATCCTCGTTGGGGCATGGTACTCCAAATAGAGTCCAATGAAATGGTCCGGTCGCAACAACTTTTCTTGTAAATCCATTAAATTTATAGTAAGTTGCGTGACGGAAAAAGTAAATATGACCATCAACCCATCGAAGTGCGAGAGAAATATCTTCAGGTAACCCAGGAAATATGTCTCTTATCCGTCCACTGTTCAACACATCAGTAAAATCGTTAGAAAATTCTATATACGACATATTATTATAAAAGGTATAGGACCGTCCTGTGTTTGATTGAAAAATAGCATTGATTCGAGCCCTATCGGGTATATCAATTGAAAAATTATCAAGAAATTTAATGGTAGGGAATGATGCTGAGAAATATTTGTTTGGAGACACAATGGTAATCAAGTCACCGTTTGTTGATTGGAAAATATGTTGTAAAGGGTATTGACGTAATTCTGTAGGAACATAATCGACAAGAAAGTCTAGTTTCCATATAAACATATCATGTGCAATATATAATCGGTAATTTGAAAACTCTGGAGCAATGGCTAAAAACATAAAATCTGGAATAATATCACACAAATTTTTGAGGATCGGCTGCTTACGAGTTGTAGATCTTATAGTTGTTGTTGTTGTTGTTTTTGGTATTGCTGATGCGGTGGTAGACTTTGGGATTGAATCATATTTGTTTTTTCTTCCATATAGATATTATACTGCATTTATATCATCAACATCTAGACCACGAATCGCATGCTGATAGAAGGCAAACATAATAGCATTCGGAGAACAACTATGTGCTATGCCGAGAGCATGTCCAATTTCATGAACCAACACCACAAGAAAACTAGTTTGATTTTTGGGTATATTAGGATTATTTCCAAAATACCAGCGTTCATTTATATCTGGATGGATTTCTCTACAGGTGCCGCTAGAGTCAGG